AAAACCAAGTCTGACAGAAACTTTTGGCAATATTTTATATGCTGCTAGCTATGGTAACTGCTGTATTTAAAGCGAAAATAGTAACTTTTTCTATACGATATTCCATAAACACTATTTGTTACCTATTACTACCTTTCTAGTTGATACTTCCAATTTCATTAACATTTGTTATACTAGAATTTTGACTTCTGAACAAGAATAAGGAAATTATGAAATTTCAACATATTTCCCAGTTATATCTTAAAGACCTTTATCAAATGTTAAGATTTTAATTGGGGAATTGGGGAAGAGGAACAGCCAAGTTGTTGTCCTTCAATCTTAGTAGTGGAGGACGCAGCTAGCTCAGTTCCAAGCTCAGTCACCATCCGGCCGCCCGTCGGCAGCTTGCAGCCACTCAGCTCAAGGTGCCATGTTCAATCTTAGTTGTGGGTGGGCGTAGCCTACCATCCCATGCGGGAGTAAAATGAGCAACCTTGTGGTTAGGAGCATGTGCTCTCACCAGCTGAGCCATCCAGCCTCCTGTTGGCAGCTCAGCTTGGGCACAGTGTCACTGGCCCATGTGGGAATCGAACCGGCGACCTGTTGCTCAGAGCTCGTGCTCTTAACCAACTGAGATACTCAGCCAGCCCTAATCTTTTTAATTCTTACTGAATGAGATACACGTATACTTTCTGTGCTTATATGATTTCATTAAATTTTTTATAAAAGAGTACAGGGGTCTCTATTTTAATTTTTCTCTCCCTAGTTAGTTGTGTGACCTTGACAAAGTTATCACACTGAGGAGCTTAGTTCCTTTATCTGTGAAATGGAAGTGCCTTTTTGGTCTTAGGAACTCTATTCAATTGTAACATATTAATATTTTTCTCATATCCATACTAATCTCAGAAATCCTAATGTGAATTTGAATATTCCCATTAAAGAAATTAAACCTTGACCAATAACATAAAAGCTATTAATCAAAATAGTTTTCTATTTCAATGACCAATGTGAATTATCTTATAAATTATGCAATGACTAGGACTTTCATAATTTTTATCCAAGTATTAACATTATTTTTTCATTTTGTGTGATACCTCTAAACTTGTGATAACTATAAAAATAATAACAATGTGTACTGTCCAACGAATAGAGTAGCACTGCCCAACAGAACTGTCTATA